ACTGCTTACCTGGCACAGGCATGCTGCGTAGCACGGTTTCAAGCGTGCAACCCTTTAATTCTCAATTTTCAATTTTTTTTTTCTTTGAGCACGGTCGTGCTTAATTTACACACCCAGGACATGCTGCCTTTTGAACTCTTTATTATTCCTGAAAATTAAATAAAACAAACAACAAACACATAAAACAGAACAATCAATCAAAATGAGAATGGGTTGTCTCCCATAAGCACTTTTGTTTAACGTCGTTAAGTTTGACGTACTGAACCTAATCCAAGCTAAGCAAGACTGATAGCGGTTTTAGGATCAAAATTTCCATCTTGGTAAACCTTCAAACGGTGAGCGTTAACCTTGAAACTTCAGTCACCATCCATTATCTCAACTGCTCTATGCGGGAAAATTTCTTTAATCGTGAACGGGCCGGACCATCTTGAGCGCAATTTTCTTGGAAAAAGGTGGAGTCTAGAGTTGTAGAGTAATACATGTTGGCCCACCTTTAGATTCCGCAAGATGATACACTTATCATGCCATTGTTTTGTGCGATCTTTATAGATTTTGGCATTTTCATAAGCGTGAAGCCTCATTTCATCCATCATGTTTAATTGAAGCAGCCTCTCTTTTGACCAGCTTCCTTGGTATCATAGTTGAGGATTTGTATTGCCCAATATGCCTTGTATTCAAGCTCGACGAGGAGGTGACAAGCCTTACCGTATACCATTCGATATGGTGACATGCCAATTGGTGTTTTGAATGCAGTTCTGTAAGCCCAGAGAGCATCATCGAGCTTCTTGGACCGGTCCTTCCTCGATTGGCCAATTGTTGTCTCTAAAATCTTTTTGATTTCCCGGTTCGTGACTTCTACTTGCCCACTCGTTTGAGGATGATATGTGACTTCTACTTGCCCACTCGTTTGAGGATGATATGGGGTACCTACACGGTGAGTAACACCATATCTGGAAAGTAGAGAGTCAAGGTACTTGTTACAGAAGTGCTTACCTCCATATATGATTATTGCTCTTGGAATACCATGTCGTGTGAAAATATATTTTTTGATGAAGCTCATCACACTTTTGGCATCGTTATTGGGTAGGGCAACAGCTTCTGCCCATTTTGACACGTAGTCCACTGCCACTAGGATGTATTAGTTTGAGTATGATGATGGAAAAGGTCCCAAGAAGTCCAGACCCCAAACATCGAAGATTTCAACTTCAAGTATGCTATTCAAGGGCATCTCATGTCTCTTCGAAATGTTACCTAACTGCTGACAACGATCACAAAGACGAACATAGTTAAAAGCGTCTTTAAATAAATTAGGCCAATACAAACCGCTTTCCAATACACGCGCTGCTGTCTTGTTTGCTCCAAAATGCCCTCCACATTCTATTGAATAGCAGAATTTAAGGACACTTTCTATTTCACTTTCCGGTATACACTGCCGGAATAGCTGATCACTACATATACACTGCCGGAATAGCTGATCACTACAATATTTAAACAAAAATGGCTCCTCCCAATAGTAGTATTTGATATCATGGAAAAATTTTTTCTTTTGTTGATAAGAGAAATTGGGAGGAGTGATTTTGCAAACAAGATAGTTAACTATATCAGTATACCAGGGGGCTTGAGTATTTGCCATTAGCAAAAGTTGCTCATGGGGAAAGCTTTCATTGATTTGTAGCTTGGTTGTATCCTCTTCCCCCAATTCTAACCTGGGTGGTCAGCTACTAGATTCCTCGGTTCCCTTTTTGCTCGCGGAATTTCCAGATCAAATTCCTTGCAATAGAGAAACCCCAACGAATTAGTCTTGGGTTTTAGCATCTTTATTTTCTATAAAATATTTGATAGCTGGGAGTGGATCTGTTGTAAACTATTGTATTGTTTTGGCTCCAATTAAATAGGCCCTGAATTTGTCAAAAGCAAAAACAATAGCTAATAATTCTTTTTCAGTAGTTGCATAATTTAATTGTGCATCGTTCAAGGTGCGACTAGCATAATAGATGACATGCAACTTCTTGTCCTTTCGTTGCCCAAGGACGGCTCCAACAGCATGATCACTAGCATCACACATAAGTTCAAGAGGAAGAGTCCAATCTGGTGTAGTGATGATAGGTGCTGAGATCAACTCCTTCTTTAATCTGTTAAAAGCATCTAAACACTCTTTGTCAAAATTGAAAGGTAAAAGGAACATCTTTACTAATAAATTTACAAAGAGCGGTTTTTTGTGATTTTCAAGAAGTCTTTGATAAACCTTTCTGTAGACCCTGCCAATGGACCAAGAAAACTCCTTAATTCCTTGTCACTGAGTTAGGAGGAGGAAGTTTTTCAATTACCCTCGATTTTGGCTTTGTCTACTTCAATTCCTTCTTGAGAGATCTTATGCCCTAAGACAATTACCTTCACTAACCATTAAATTTGACATTTTTCCCAATTTAAAACAAGGTTAATGTCTTCAAATCGTTGCATTACTAAAGATAAATTATGAAGACATGCATCGAAAGAAGAGCCAAATACCAGAAAAATCAATCCATAAATATCTCAATAGATTTTTTCTCAACCATATCAGAAAATATGGACATCATGCATCTTTGGAAGGTTGCAGGAGCATTGCATAGTCCAAAAGCATTCTCATATAGGCAAAAGTGCCATAAGGGGCAAGTGAAAGTAGTTTTCTCTTTGATCTTCAGGAGCAATTAGGTATTTGAAAAGTATCCTTGAATAACCATCCAGAAAAACAATAGAAAGGATATCCTGCAAGTCTTTCAAGCATTTGATCAATAAAAAGGGTAGGGGAAAGTGGTCTTTACGTGGTTGCTTTGTTCAATTTTCTTGTAATCTATACACCACACGCCAACCTGTTGACTGTTCTAGTGCGGAAATTAATTCATTGTTTTCATTAGAGATAACAGTCATACCTCCCTTTTGGCACAACTTTGAACAGGACCTTACCCAACTACTATCGGAAGATTGAATAGATAATGCCAGCATCCAGAAGTTTTTATGATTTTCAGCCTTCAACTACCTCCTTCATGTTTGGATTCAATCGTCTTTTGATGCTCGATTTGAAGGCTTGTAGTCTTCTTCCATTCAGGAATTTTATGCATTGCATACACTCGGGCTTATTCCCTATAGATCAGAAAAATTGACCACCCTATTGCTTTTTGTGCTTTCGAAGGAACCTGCAAACAAAATACCTTCCTCTTGATCAAGCGTTAAGCTGAGAAAGGAAATATAAACAAGAAAAAGAGTTGTTCTCACTAAGGAATGCATTGCTTCAAATGAGGAGGAAAGCTTGCTTCAGTTCTTGTTTCGTGGTGTACCTTTCTTTTTTCTTTTTCTTCTATATATATTATAATCTACGCGCTATGTAAAAGTGTTCTCTACACATTTATCAATTTACATCTATTCTAAAGCAATCATCGCAGATCCATAGGATGTTTACAATATTTTTAACACATCAAAAACAAAATCTCTTCTTGACCTTACTTCTCAATGTCAGTTTCCCATCATGATAACATCAATTAGAGCTCTTTGCAGTTGCAATAGAAAAGTCTGCCAAGGATCAATGGATCCTTCGTCTTTCCGTTCATCAATGTCAAGGATGAACAAAATCAACGGAAAAATGAATTTTCCTAACCTTGACTAGTACGTCCTCCTACAAAATCCCCCTTTGGCGGTATATTGATCGATCCGCGTCAGCTAATTGTAGAGACATCCTCGTTGCTGAGCTCTTCCCATACCTTAGCATTTTAAAGACTTCCATAAGACATTTAGATTTTATTTGCTAGCTCCATAGGTCAGCTAAAGCCTTTTTCAAAATTTAAATTGCCAAATATTACAAGGAATAGAAAGAACTCCCTGGAATCTTTAAGTTTAGGGATGGGCAATTTATTTTGAATGATTGCACTGCATTCCTCAGTTCAGATTTTACTGTGCCCTGATCATCCAACTTTCTTTTCTTGCTCAAGGATTTCTTTTTAAGAACTTTGCCATAGCTGGGCATTTGAGCAAGAGTCATAGCTGGGCATTTGAGCAAGAGCTTCAGCAAAAGGGATGTTTATTTGAAGCTTTTTGAAGACGTCAAGAAATTTCATGAAGCTTTGGTCATCCTGCATCTTTTTCAACCTTTATGGAAATGGAACGGGTGGAACATAAGGTTTCACTTCATCCTTCTCCACCAGATCAATGATAGATGCTTTTCTCTCTTCTTCTTTTTCCTTCTCCTTTCTGGGCCTGTCCTCCAATTCTTTACCACTCCTCAAGGTTATGGCTTGTACCTGTTCTTTAGGATTTTTTTTCAGTGTTACTAGGTAGCGTACCTTGAGGTAGCTTGCCATCATGTTTTACAAACTGTCACCAATTTGGATCTCTAAATTTATTGGCAGGCTTGTTTGGATTGTTGTGTTCTTTTTTCATTTCATGAAATCCATTTGTGCGATTTCGAAAAGGGCAGGTAAGGAGATCATCATGAGACTTTTTCTCAAGAGGCAAGAAACCTGGTGTGCATTTAAAGTGCTCGTTAGGGAATTACCATATGAAAGATTCGGATTGATTTTCTCAAACCTGTTATCGTAAGGATTCGAATTATGGCATACATTCCTCCTTCTGTTGGTCATCACGTAGGTTTACTTGCGCTACAAAGTTTTGGATTTGCAGGAATCTAATATGCATTCTCCAACTCCATGTGGTTTCAGTTGCATCTGTCACAGGTTTGATTGATGAGTTCACAGATTTAGTGGTTAGTAAGTCTAACTTTCTTACCATGTAGTCAACCTTTGCATTTAGTGAGTGATTGGCATCAATTTTCATAGATCCCAGCAGTTTTTCTTCTTTCAGGAACTGCTTTGCGATAATGGCTATTGCTTGCCATTTCTTCTATTAAATCGTATGCCTACATCCGATCCTTTTCCTTTCGAAAGATCCTTCCCTGCAGCTGCATCAAGTGTAATCTTAATTATTAGGTGAACAATGAATTTATAAAAAAGTTTGGACCTGTAACCATGGGCAAACTATGGTGAGGCACATTTTCTCAGCAAATCTTTAAATCTTTCCCAAGCTTCATATAAGCTTCTTGATCATGATGAACGAAAGTCAATGATCTCATTTCTCAATTTGGTTGTTTTAGAGATGGACAAGAATTTTAGCGAAAAATTTCTAGCTAATTCTTCCCAAGTTGTTAAAACTCCAGCTTGGTAAGATTGTAAACCATTTGATCGCTGCTTTGTCCCTTAGAGTAAAAGATAAGAGTCTTAATCTAATGGCATCGATTCAGAAACACCATTTTGTTTAAAAAGTATCACAAATTTCTAGGGAAATTGGTGCATGTGAGCATTGGATCTTCATTAGGAAGTCCCTCCATTATTGAATAGAAGTGGGAAAGGCAAACTGAATAATTGCTGGTGTTGATTTCAAAGTTATTAGCTTCACTCTTAGTCTAGTGATGCTGGAGGTACTCCATTAAGAGAGGCGTTGGTGCGGACATTTTGTTTGTTGTCCGATCTGAGGATTTGCAGGCAAGAGGTAGGTGTTCGGAAGTTGAGGATTAATTTGCCGTCCATTGTTTGATTGTTGCTCGGGATCTGTTTCTTGTTCTGTTTTCTTGTGCTCTCCTTGCTGCGTTATTTCTTCTACAAGTTTTCTCAATTTCTGGATCAAAGATCAGAGGTTCTGTTCTTCCTGATCGTCTTCGCATAAAACCTGAGATGTTTTAAAAAATTAAGGACAAATGAATAAATAAATGTCTAAATTAATAACAAGATAATTCGTATTGATATTGGTATTGCCAATTCCCCAGCAACGGCGCCAAAAACTTGAGAGCTTATTTCGCAAGTGTACGAATCGCTACAAGTAATATATGATGAGTAAGATATCGCTCCCACGAGGATTGTAATCCAAATACCAAAATTATGTTATCTTGTTATTATTTAAACGATAATTGAGAGAATTGTTTTTATAAATGTAAAATAAACAAGAGGTAAAATAAACAAGAGTCAAGTAAACAGAAATTGATTAAAAGAAATCAAGGAATTGAAACTGTTTTACAATCCCAAAAGTGTTTTAGCACCAAGTTTTAGCAATAAAGCTTTCTTTTCTTCCTTTTCTCTCTTTTTCTCTTTTTATGTCCTATTGTATTTTTAATTTTTCAATCTGTATATCTAATAGCTTGATCTTCCTCAAGGTTACTCACTAGAGTTCTTGAGGAAAACCCTAGCCGCAGTAGATTACTCTCAGTCTAAAATGCCTTAGTCTAGAGAAAAATGAGAAAAGTCCCATTTAAAAATGAAAATGTTGTATTTATATGGGTAGGGCAACAGCTTCCGCATCAAGTTATTATTCTCATGTGTTTAATTAACTCTTTTCATATCAAATATCCTTCTTCCGATAGCGATCATTGAAATAAATCAATCTAGGGGAAAATTCTGCCTAGAAGCATTAAGTTCATTAATAAATCATAACTTGAATAAAGAAAGAAAAATAAATCTAATTGCCATTCATAACTTGAATAAGGAAAAATAAATCTAATTGCATAAATTGGAAAAGAGATTAAGCTACATCAAACCCCTAGTATAAGAAATTAGTTACACATAGTATTTAAATAAAAACTCAACAATACTTGATAAATATTCCATAATCAATAAAGATGATGAAAGAAATAATAAGAGTAAGAGTTTAGAATTAAGAACTAGTGATAGGTTGCTTGGATGGCTTCCTTGAAACACTTCACAACTCTTTAATGCCTAACTTCTAAAAGAGACTATATAAAGGCTATGAGAGGGAGAAGAGAAGTAGAGATGAATGTAATGTGTGTGATGGATTTTTTTGAGATGAACTCTACTCTTCTTTATGTAGACTTCTTTGAGAGAGGATTCCACATGGGTTAATGATCAAAGTCTTCTTTGTTGGGTTGTAAAGCTTTTAGGGTCTCCATTTTCTTTAATCATACTCACCCATGTTGGCATAGAGTTGATCTTGTGGTTTGCATGTGAGGAAAAGTTGTCCAAGATTTTGCTCCATAATTGGTGTGGAAGTTGGTTGGCAACTTTTGACTAAATTTTAGTTTTCTTGATTGGCACGGGGGTGCTGCCTGGGCCTGGCACGGTCTGGGGCGTGCCAAGCTTTGGAGGTCTGGGGCTCTCAACACAGGCCGTGCGGTTCCGCACGGTCTGGGGGAGTTCCAGGGCACGGGCATGCGTACTGGCACGGCTGCGGGGGTGCACTCCTCTGGAAGTCTGGAAGTTGTGTAGCATGGGCGTGCTTCAGTTGCACGAGCCAAGTTTCTATCTCCAGTGTGCGCATGGGCGTGCTCTTTGGCACGGCTTGGGGCATGCATCTCTCTGGAAGTCCGAGGCATTTGAGGCACGGGCGTGCGCCTTAGCATGGGCTGGGGCGTGCGCCTTCTGGCTCTTTACTTTGATTTGCCTTGTGTTGCCTTGTGTTTGCGACGGGCCGTGCAACCGTTAGCACGGGCGGGGGCGTGCTAATCATGTTTTGCCTTATTTTTTGTTTCCTTTTCTTACAAAATCCTACACTTTTCCTCAAAAAATCAGGTGAGTTGGTTTCAAGGAGCTTTTTTAAATAAAAAAACATAACAATATTGTATATAAAAAACTAATTTAGATAAATAAAAATTGCTAAGGGAAATCTTAGTAAAAATTACAATAAAAACATTATAAAAATTAACACTATCAAGGTTACAATATTATATAAAAACTAATTTAGATAAATAAAAATTGCTAGAAATCTTAGTAAAAATTACAATAAAAACATTATAAAAATTAACACTATCAAGGTTCCAGAAGGAAAATACAACGAAAATTAGCGATTGATATTTATAAATTGGTGACCGATTAGTCGGTCACGAATTTGCAACAGCTTAGTCATTCGATCGCAAAATTATTTGCGACCAATTCATGTCTGTCGCAAATCGGTCGCTATATCCATTTAGCAACCGATTTCCTATATTTAGCGAACGATTTGTCGATCACAATTTAGCGATTTTTTGTAGTGATAACCTATCTTTGATCCAAAAAAGACAATCTCTAAGCTGGATCGCTGTATGCAAAACTGTCCTTCCGAACCTTCGATGATGATACCAAAATAGGCTGCATGCAGCTGTTGAAATATCGCTCCATCAAGAAAAATTTGCCATTCATGCTGAAAATTTGGTCCCAGGTAGGGACGTTATATGTCTCAGACCTGAAGCGAGGAAGAGGAACTCCGTTGTTGCCTTATTGGACCTGATGGTAAGAGACCACCTGAACAGCTTGTGATTCACGAAACAGAGTAACTGTAGACTCGCTAATCTGACCAGCTTCATGAACCTGTCCTTGCCAAACCGAGGAGTTAAGAGCATGCCAAATCGTGGATGCCGTAGTTGAAAAGTGCTTTATAGGCTAACCTCCATCCATTTCCAGTACCTGTAGAAAAAGATTAGTAAATGAAAACGCATGAGGGGTCGAAACCCCCTTCAGCCTCCATATTTGTCGGGCCTTATAGCATTCAACCAAACTATGATCAATAGTTTCATCATCCCCACTCAACAGCATCCTTTAGAAACATTAATACCTCTCTTAAACAATTTAATCTTTGGAGGTAAGATACCCCTATGTGCCCTCCATAGAAACACCTGAACCTTTGGTGGGACATTTAACTTCCAAATCTTAGCCCATAAAACCCCCTGTAATCTATGCCCACCATGCACAAGCATTTTTAGAGCCACATAATAAGCTGATCTAACACTATAATCACCTTTCTTTTCATAATGCCAAATTAACCTATCTTCAACATTAGATACACTCAACGGAATATTAAGGATAGCTCGCACATCATTCACACTAAACAACTACACAAGCTTCTCAAAATCCCACTCTCTTTTATCCTCCCTCATAATCTCATAAACCCTCATACGATGTATAAAGTGAAATCCATCCTCAACTCTAAAATCTCTGTCCCTTGGGATCCAAAGGTCAGACTGAACCAAACTCGATTCCCCATTACCAACCCGCCAATGCACTCCTTTATTTAGAACCTCCCTAGACAATAGAACACTCCTCCAAGCAAAGCGAGGACTGCTTCTAAGAGAAGCAGACAAAAAATTCCCTCTTGGAAAATATTTTGCTTTGTAAATCTCATAAATAAGAGTGTTGGGCTTGGACAAAGTCGCCACCCCTGTTTGCCTAGCATATCTAAATTAAAGCAGTGCAAGTCCCGAAATCCCACACCTCCATCCCCTTTTACTTTGGCACATACGATCCCAAGAAAGCCAAGGCATACCTTTTCACCCTCCCCTCTTATTATGCCACTAAAAAGAATTCATTAACTTTTGAAGCTCATCACATAAAGATAAAGGGAGAAGGAAAACACTCATACAAAAAGTGGGCAATGCTTGTGTAACTGAAACGACCCGGAAATTCAATTTCGTAGAATTTCCATTTAAAACCTAAATTTTTATTCCAACCAATGAAATTTAGCGAGAAATAATTTATTATTGCTAAACAAACCTGTAAACCAGTTTGAATTTTTTGAAAACCAAGTGCAAAACCCGTAACCTAAGCAAAAATCCGGTCAAATAACCGAATTGGACCAAACCGGTTCGAAACAAATCGGAATAGTCTAGAAACCACTTTTTCTTTTTTTTTCCTTTCTCTTCTTCTTCTTTTCTTCCTCACCAGCGCCAACAGCCCCCCTTCCCTATCCTTCTTCATTTTTCGATCACCGAAGCTCGAGCTTGCCGATCATAGCTGCTTCTAGTTGTCGTCATTCCTCCAGTCACCCTCTCCATTTTTTTTGTTCGGTTTATAGCGTGGTAGAAAGGGAAAAGCTTTTCCCGATCAGACAGTTTGCTCTCTTCGTTTCTCTAGCACTCTCCGTTCTCGAGCAGCTTGGGTGACAAGGTCAGCTCGAATCGGCTCCTTGCAACTGGGCGAGCATTTTCCCTCAATCGATTGATGGGTTTATCGAAAATTGAGGAAACTGCCATGGACGACGGCTTAAAGCTCCTGTCGAACCTGTTTCGACTAGTTAGGGGACTGATCTCGCGCAACTAAAGCTAAAAACGGACTCCTGAGTGAAAACCGAGCTAGATGGTGTGACGAGCGCTTGATTTCGAGTAGCC